CAAAAAGAGGAGGATTAGCATGGATGTTAGCTCAGGGCTGATCTTCCTCACAAAAAATAAATAAATAAATAAATAAATAAATAAATAAATAAATAAACCACACCACAAAGCTAAGCATGTAGCATCCTCAGCGCCTTTGGGGGAGGGAGGTTTAAGTGTCCTGGAGTTGGAGAGAAGGGGAGATCAATGAGAAGTCAAGGTCATTCGTGGTCCCTTTGGTGGGAGAACATTGGCCCTCAGGCAAAGCGCCATTGGGAGACCCTGGCCCATTTACTGTCCTCTGTGTTGTGTTTTCTAAAAGGACCCCCTCACTGAAGACACATACAGTCCCAGGGAGGCTGCGCTGAGTGCCTAGAGCCTGGGCGGCCCCAGGAAGTGCCTCTCAGAGCATCTGAGATGAACGACGCCCAGGAAGGAGAACGGCAGTGGGGGGTCAGGAGTGGCGTGGGAATTTAGAGGGGAAATTGCAAGCAAACTTTAGGGAGAAGCGATGAGGGAGGGGTTTGGACCAGTTCCTCCAGGAAATCTTTGGGAGCCGACAGTATTATTTCACCCCAGTTGTGAATGGCCGCTGTGTGCCATTTACACATGGTTTACCTCATATACCATGAGTTACGTGTGCCACCTCAAGAATGGTCGCCTCAATCCTGGGGGACAGGTGGCTTTGCCCCCTTTGTGCAGCAGAGGCGATGGAAGTCCACAAAGGTTAAAGAATTTGCCGCAGGTCACATAGCTGGGAACTGGGGAGCTGGGGGTCCAGTAGGGGCTTACTGCCATACCCCCCTGCCTCTGTCACAGGAGTTGTGACCAGGGCAGTGAAGGGAGGGAGCAGGGGAGGATGCTGGGCCAGAAGCTCGAGGAGAGGGCCTCACGGGAAGGCCTGGCATCAGTTTCCTGTGGCTGCCATAACAAAGTACCACAAACTTAGCGGCTTAAATAACAGATTTATTCTCTCACGGTAATGGAGGCCAGAAGTCTGAAAGGCAGGGCCACACTCCATCCAAAGGCTCTAGGGGAGGATCCTTTCTGCCTCTTCCAGCCTCTGGTGGCCCCAGGCATTCCTTGACTTGAAGCTGCATCACTCCCATCTCTGCCTCCATCACTCCACGGCCCTCTCCTCTTCTCTCTGTATCTCTCTTCTTTCTGTCTCTCATAAGAACGCTTGTCACTGGATTTAAGGCCCACCTGGCTAATCCAGGATGATCTCATCTCGAGATCCTTAACTTAATCCCATCTACAAAGACCTTTTTTCCAAAATAAGGTCACATTCACAGCTTCTGGGGGTTAAGACATGGGCATATCTTCTGGGGGCCACAATTCAACCCACTACAGCCCAAGAATAAAGAACGTTAGAAAACCAGGCACAGAGGGTTTATCTGGGCTTTTTCCAAAAAGGTCAACATGGCTGAGCACCAATCTGATCTGGATTCTAATTTTCATTTCTCAGCCCAATCCTTAACATCACCAGCAATCCTAGAAGCTTTCGCTGCTCAAGGTGCATCCTCAGCCTGTACAATGCTGTTCCAGACCTTCTCCGCAGGCCAGCGCCCCCCTACCTCCCCATCCCCCTCAGCAGATGACCTTGCCTACAGCTTCACAGAGGAAATGGAAGCCACCACAGAGGAACATCCTTATTTTCCCAACCCCAAACCCACACACCTACCCGTATCTGTGCTACATTTTCCCGGGTCCTCCCAGTGCTATAACAAAAGTGTTTCTCCTCCAACCCAAGTCCAGTCACTCCACCTCGATGAGTCCCGACCTCCCATGTTCACAGGCACCTCCCTGTGAGTTATCCTAGCTGTCTGCTTTGGCCTCAACATCTCCTGCTCTTGTAGAGTCTTTCTCGTCATTTAAACATATGCATTTTCTCCCAACTTGAAGTTTTTTAACAAGTGCCCTCCTCCCACTCCACTTCCTCCCCCAGGAGGCACCCTTCCTCCCCCAGCCCTTTGCAGACGAGCTTACTGCCTCCGTTTCCTCCCTGATCATACAGTCCACCATCCACCTACAGGGCCGTCTGTGCTTCCAGACGGCTAACCAAGGGCACTTTCCAGGCTCCATCTTGCTCTGCAGAGTTTGCCAGTGATACCCAGCCCCTCCTTCCTGCAATATGGTGTTGTCTTGAATCCCCTGACTCCACACTCTCCTGGTTTTCTTTGGTCACATCTTTTCAGGCTTTTTTTTTTTTTTTTTGCAAGTTTATTTTCCATTTGGCATTTAAATATGGGAGTTCCCCAAAGTTTGAGCCTAGGCCCCCTTCTCTTTTCACTCTGTCTCTCTTACTAGGCAATCTCCAACTGCCGATTGGTGGAGCATCACGGGTGGAGCATATATGGTGGCACATCACAGGTCCTTCCGAATGTCAGTCTCCAATTTCAGAGATCACATGCCCGACTTCCTATTCCACATCTCCCATTGGGTGTTTTAAAGGCATCTTGTATTCAAAATGTTTGAAATAAAGCTCAAGATCTTTTCTCCCACAAACCTGGGTCCTTTCCATCTTTCCCCATCTCTATGGACGGAACACTGTCCAACCAGCTACACAAGTCTTCTCAACAACCTTCCTCTCAATGACCTCCCTTTCGCTCACTTTGGAAGAAATTCAAAATGATATTTGCATTACAGAAAAATTTTATTAGCCTTTTCTATGCTTTGAAGAGTAGAAAGGATGCTATGTGTTCCTCGAGGCTTAAGAGAATTCCAGTACTAATGGCATAGGATATAATTTGAATTTTTAATAAAATGCTTTGCATTTATACGATAAGGATTCTTGTAGGGCCACTATCCAAGGACCTGTCTTGATTTACATGGTGACTGAGGACTCCAGGATTTATGACATTTCTTGGGTCTTGACTTTACAGGAGGAGATAATTTACAGAAAATCTTTTAATAACTGTCAGCTCCATAATGCCCCGTCGCCCTTTCAGGATATAACCAACTGACCATTACAATCTCTATAAATAAAACCACATGATAATCACTGAATAAAAAAAGAAGGAGGTTTTCAGGGTGGGAAAATGACAAGGAGATATGTGAAAAAGAATTCTTGGGGAAGAATAAAATAAGAAATTTGTGATTTAAATATATTTGAAAGTTTAGGTATGATTTTCATAGGTTTGGGGATTTTTTTAAAGAAAATCTATCTGAAAAGATGTCACCAGAAAAGACAGGAAGTAAAAGATATGATCAGGCCTGATTGTAGGTAGACAGAGAATAATGTATATGTCAGCTTTACACTAAATGAACTAATAGAGCAAAATTTACACTATGCTAGGTTATTCTTTATTGGGTCCATTGATCTCAAGGGGCTCTGGTCTGAAGACTGATCACTCTCTCAGCTGCAAAGGAAAAGCTTTCCTTTCCATCTAGACTCAAGCGCTGAATTTCTAAGTTTATTGACAAAGAACTTCAAGGAGAATAAGATTTGGGTGTTTTCTCAAGGTTTTGTACAAACATTAGGCTTTCTCTTGGAATTTTTTCAGAATTAATTAATCTCTGTAACAGAGAGATAGCCAAAGTGTAGGTATCATCTCCAAGTAAGAAATAATCTAGAGGGCCGGCCCCGTGGCTTAGCGGTTAAGTGCGTGCGCTTCGCTGCCGGCGGCCCGGGTTCGGATCCCGGGTGCGCACCGAGGCACCACTCCTCCAGCCATGCTGAGGCCGCATCCCACATACAGCAACTAGAAGGATGTGCAGCTATGACAGACAACTATGTACTGGGGCTTTGGGGGAAAAATAAATAAATAAAATCTTTAAAAAAAAAAAAAAGAAATAATCTAGAACTCCATCAACCCAAGATGGTTATTCTTTTTTTTTTTAAAGGGAAGTAGTGTGGGGTAGAGTGCTTGGGATTCTTGTTTTCAAATTTCATCTTCACCTCTTACTAGCTGTGTGACCTCAAGCAAGTTACTGAACCTCTCTGAATTTGCATTTCCTCACCTGTACAATGGTGATAATCCGACCTAACATCATTGGTGTATTGTTAGGATCAAGTGACATCAAAAAACACAAAATACTTGGCACATTGTCAATATTAAATACATCTTAGTTTCCTTTTTAAATTTTTCTTTGATTATAGTATATAAACCTTAACGATCATCCCTCTTGTAAACACTGTAAGTATAACATCGTAAACTTGCTAAGAAATGCCCAGAAGGAGTCATGAAAACTTCTATTCTTTGTATGAAACTTTGCATGTTCACAGCATTTCACCACCGTAGCTCGCCCCTTCTCTGAGGTCCCATGGGTTTTCTGTAAGCCCCGCTGGCTTCATAGCTGAGTAAACTGAGGCACAAAGTGACATATAAAGGGTTTGTCACCATCAACAACAGAACAGCCACCATCCAGCAGAGCACCCCTGTGAGCCAAACTTTTTTGCCAGAACTCCAGAACCACCAGCCCCGACACACAAAGCAAAGCTGAACCAATAAAAACCAAGTGAATGCCAGACTGGGTCCCAAAGGTGGTTTTTAAGCGATAAGGGTGGTCCACCTTGATCATTGGACCAATATCTATTTCAGGCCTACTATGGATCTAGAATCACAGCAACGAATAAGGAAGTCGTGCTTCATGTCTCATGGAGCTTACATCTCAGCAGGGGAGATATTAAGCAACTAGTTATAGAGTTAATTTTTGCTGGATTTCTGTGTGATAACTGCCAGGAAGGAGGAGTGAGCACACACAGCAGGAAGATTTCACATGGTCTGGGAGGTCTGGGGTTGTGCTGCGGGGAAGCGACGTCTGACATAAATGACAGAGAATAAGCAGGCATTAACCAGGCCAAGTGTAAGTGTGGTATATGTGTCAGGGGGTTTGAAGGGGGGTATAAGCGTGTTCCATGCAGAGCGGGCAGCTGTACGAAGCCCCGAGGCAGGAAAGAGCAGGGAATGTTTGAAGGACTGAGAGCCCCACAGTGCAGCTGGAGCCCCATGGGGTCCAAGATGAGGCTGGCAAGGGAGCTGGGGCTGCCCATTGGTGAGAGTCTAGTTAAGGATGAGCATCTCTTTTTTTTTTGCTGAGGAAGATTCACCCTGAGCTAACATCTGCTGCCAGTCTTCCTCTTTTTGTATGTGAGCTGCTGCCACAGCATGACCACTGACAAGATGAGCGGTGTAGGTCCATGCCCAGAAACTGAACCCCGGCCACCAAAGCGGTGTTGGCCAGACTTAACCACTAGGCCACCAGGGCTGGCCCTGAGATGTGCATCTTTATCCAAAAGCAGCCGGGCCTGCTGGTGGCCCGGGTTCAGATCCCGGGCGCACACCGACGCACTGCTTCTCCAGCCATGCTGAGGCCGCGTCCCACATCCAGCAACTAGAAGGATGTGCAGCTATGACACACAACTATCTACTGGGGCTTTGGGGGAAAAAATAAATAAATAAAATTATACAAAAGCAGCGGGGCCACAGCAGTAAAGCCAGAAACCAATTGGTGCATCCGGGTTCACTGGTCACAGGCAACTGGAACTCACTCCCCCCCCAATAAAAAACATTTTGGTTAGCTCAGCTTTATTTTGGTAAATGGTTGCCCAGCTTGGATGAATCACTAGTCAAAAAATTATTCTATTTTGTTGACTACCCACTCCTCCCCGCCCCAGTAACTTTTTTACTTTTCATTTCATCTTGAAGTCTGCACGTATAAGTGTGAAGTTAAACCCACTTTTCAGATGTTCACCGTTGAGTAGGTGAGACTCTAGATGTCAGGCTGGGCTGACTGTGGAGAGCTGAGCTAGTTCTCAAACTGTGCTGCACATTAGAATACCAGGCGAGCTTCTAAAACCCAGATGCCCAGGCCTCGCCCCACACAAGTGAAATCAGACTTCTTCTAGCGCGGAGGGGGACCCTGGCATTAGTTTCTTTTTTCTTTCTTTTTTTTTTTTTTTGCTGAGGAAGATTGGCCCTGGGCTAACAACCATGCCCATCCTCCTCCACCTTATATGTGGGACTCCTGCTACAGCATGGCTTGATAAGTGGTGCATAGGTCAGCACCTAGGATCTGAACCCCAGAACCCGGAGCCGCCAAAGGGGAGCACCCAAACTTAACCACTACACTACCACCAAGCTGGTCCCATGGCATTAGTATTTTTTTTTAACTGCTCAGGTGATTCCAAGGTGCAGCCAAGTTTGAGAAGCTGTGAACCAAGAGACTCTTCCAGATGAGTCTGTCCTTCCCCCAAGTCGGAGGAAAGAAAGAGTAGTAGTGATAATCCCCTCAAAGGATTCAGGAGTTTCTTTTAGCCAAAGAAAGGACTAGATGACGGAAGAGAGGATTCAAATATAATCTGCAGAGGAAGGAGCGTCTACAACACGAACACACCGA